ACTGTTACAGATGGCATTTAAGAGGTGGCAGGGGTGTCATTCTCCAGACATGAAGGCACCAGAGAGAACCTGACTGGATTTGTGTGAGGGAGCAGAGGAAGTCCGGCGTGTGTGGGAAGTAGTGAATGAGTGTGTATGTTTTGACATGAGCACCATGTGTCAAGGATCCCAAAACCTCAGATCCATGGGGAATGGTAAAACCTTCCCTCCCCACTTGAATGTGAATGTTAATAGTGTGTGCAGAAAATGGCCAGCATAGCCTTCTTCCCCCGGATATGCATGGCCTGAAGGCTGCTCCCCTCCAGAGCCTGCTCCTACTGAGATTTCCTACACCTGCCTCCTTGTTCAACTGTATAGAATAACACCACTTCTTGTTAGGTTGTATGCAATAATTATACAAATATATGTGAATGAGCTGTTTTCAGCCAATGACTTAACAATATAGCCAGGCTGATAGAGATATAGAGAGAGAGTAGGCAGAGTCAGGGAGAAGCCATGTAGCCCCCCACCAGGGACAGACACCTCCACTGGAGCCCACTGGAACCTTGCCCGTAAGCCACAGCCATGTGGCGATACACAGATGAATAGAAATGGCTTAACCTAAGAGATAAGAGCTAGCTAGCAATACACTTAAGCTATTGGCCAAAAAGTATTACAAGTAATGTAGTTTCTGAGTGATTATTTAGGGTCTGAGCAGTTCCCCCAACACTGCCCCGGTCAGGCCACGTTCTTGGAACTGTGCCAGATGTGACAGACCGGCCTTGCCAAGTTTCCCCGGTTACTACTGTCATTTTACACCATCTATCTTATCATGATCTTATCCCATGATCCTATTCTCCAGCAAACGGAATAAAACGAACAAACCCCACCAGTTGGGGCACAGGAGATGTTAAGTGGTTAAGAGTACCCACTGGCTGCTCTTCCAAGGAGCAGAGTTTGATTCCCAACACCACACAGCCGCTCACAATGTCTGTAGCTCAAGTCCTCTCCTGGCATTCATTGGCATTACATGCACATGGTGCGCTGACATTCATGCAGGCAAAACACATCTATCCACATAAAATATAATGAAAAAGAATATAGCAGGTTCACTTTCGGGTCTTCATTTCTGTATGTCTCCTGGGTCTTTCAAATAGATCAAATCGGTTTATAGCCTTTTCTTGTTAATCTGCCATCTATTATGTGGACCCAGAGAAGAGCCAAAAAGGTCAGGAGGAAAAAGGTATTTTCCTTCCTTCTGGCATGTCAAGGTCAGTGTCCACATGTGTGCTTTGGTTTTGTAGGAGCAGGGTGACAAAGTTGCTAAGTGATGAAATATTAAAGATGACAGACGTTTTTTGAGATATCTTGGGTTTGCTATGTGAAGCTGTTGCAGTACAGCCTCAAGGATGGGAAGGGAAGCCAATTTACCTTCACGTAGAGTCTGTCTTATCTCCTGGGGATGCAGCCTGTGCATCCACCAGTCTGGGACCCAGGAAGACCACAGCTACTACCCCAGACATGTGACATCCCAGACTGCTCCACACTTGTCTGGGTAGAGACTGGGCAAGCCTGAGAGCACAGGTTGCCCGTTGCTTACAGGATTGTCTTGAAGAAGAGATAATATTTAAATTACTAGACATTAAAAATTAATATTTTGAAGTATTGTCAATCATTTGGCTAAATTTCTGTCTTTGTAACATTGCGCTCGATCTCCTTTCTAGAACCCATCTGATTAGAGAGTATCGCTAGGATAAAAAATCACAGTGAACTTTATTCAAGGAAAAACAAATCATTGAATGATATTTGTAAAAACACAGTCAGGCTGACTTGATTCAGGATAGTGGTGACAGGCATAGAACCATGGCAACAAGGCTTTGCTGTGGAAAAAGGGATCAGACTCAACCCTGAATACACCCAGGAGTCAAGTGGGAATTGATATTCAGAAGTCAACTGTGTGTGTGCGGGGACGGGGGTGGACAGGGTATTGCTAAAATACCGTATCAGAGTTAAGAAGGTGCTGTTCTCTGAATGCAGAATATCCTGCAGTTGTTTGACTGCTTGGTGCTGTTGGGCAGACTGTGGAACCTCTAGGAGGCGGAGCCACACTGGAGGAAGTGGGCCAATGGGGCTGGGCCTTCCTATTTGCTATCCCACCCCTGCTTCCTGCTCATCTGGGTACAAGCAGGATCTTGCCACCTTTCTTTCCCCTCCCTGCCTTTCCTGCCGTAATGGTTTCCATCTCCCCAAACTGTGAGCCCAGATAAACCCTCCTCCTGCCTTACTCTGTGTCTTTCAAGCGTCCTATCACAGTATCAAGGATACTGTGATCTTACAGCTGATACTTTACAGCTATAAGAAGTTTCTGGCTGAACTGATCTACCAGGATAATTCTGTAGTCAGGATGGTCAGACACTGATGAGTGGATGGTGAATACGAATCTGATCAGATATTCGGCATCATCAAACTTAAGAAGCCTCTTTGCTAAAACTGCATTTTAATAGGGCAGTGCATATTATCTCAGCTCCTAGGATAAGCTTAGGAAGTCTCGCTAAGGTTTAGCAAAGCAAAGAGTCTTTGTAGTTAATTTGAAATGGGTTTTATTAAAATATTGACTTGCCTTTGGCTTTTGTCTGATGTTCAGGAATCCTGCTCCTGAGGTGTGTACAAATGACTGGCGGAGCCTCAGAGGTGCTTCTGGGATTGTTTGCTTTAGATCTCTCCAGGTGGACACTGATATCTTAGAGGGTAGTATTCCTGCAATTACCAAGATCTTAGCAACAATTGGTGACTAAGTAGCAAGACATTAAATCATTATTAACTGAGTGTTTTGTACCTCGAGAGACTCTGTGGCACAGAGCAGATTGGGTCAGGAAATGAGGATCTGGGAGAATTTTGCTATAGGTGCTCCGGGACTCACAATGTGCTGGACATTGAAGATATCATACATCAAAACACATTTACTATTTCCAACCCGTGGAACTTCAAGCTTCACCTGAACACCACATTGTCAGTGGTGTTTCTTGGAGCTTCAGGAATACCAAACCCAACCCTCAAAGTGTGGTTTCTGTGCAGTGTGGCTCTCACACCAATGCCAAACTGGAAGGCTGTAGGCTGAACCTCGTGAGTTTGGTAACATCTTGATTCTGGTTCTGAGTCACCTAAAAACTCAAAGTGTTGAGATTGGGGCAGATGTGCCTCTTGTGGAGGTGGCAGAGGTGCAGTGAAGAAGCGAACTGTCATAGAATCTGTTCTTGATGTTGCTCTCCTGGTTTAGGGTATTGTCCCTAGATAGCCCGTGTTCATCACACACACACACACACACACACACACACACACACACTGATCTGTCATCAGTGATCATTTCCACAGTGGTGGTGTTCTTCTGTTCTAGAGAGAGCCAGTTATGGTTGGGAAAGGTTCCTCTTGTGTTGTTTATCACTTCCAACACACACAGTCAATCTATCTCACACATACAGAGAGTCTGTCACACACACACACACACACACACAGTCTCTCACATAATACACATACTGTCTCTCACACATAGATACAAGTCAGTCTCTTCCACAAATGATCTCTCTCTCTCTCTCTCTCTCTCTGTGTGTGTGTGTGTGTGTGTGTGAGAGAGAGAGAGAGAGAGAGAGAGAGAGAAATTGAGTAGCTTTGTTCCTCTATCCTTCCTTAGTACCAGGTAAATACATTTTTTTTTATTACTACAGAGGAAGCTAAAGACACAGGTGTGTGGGCTCTGGTTGGGGAAGTCATTGAGGATCAGATGTTCTGGGGAAGCTGTCACTAGGGCTCAGGATTTCAGCTTTGCTTCTCTCTCACAAATTTTAATTCACCAAGAAAAACCAACAGTAAATAAAACACCAAAAGAGGCGAATGGGTCATGTCTTGGACTGTGTCCCTGTTAATCTGGGAACTGCTAAGTTAAGTGCCCAGCTGTTAAAAATTAAGGAGCCATTGGAAGGCTCAAAGAACAAATTTTCCGTTACATTTCAAATTTCTTTTCTTTCTTGTCAAAAGTTTTTTTTTTCTTAATTGGTTGTTGTTTGTTTGTTGGCTTGTTTTAATGGTGACTTTATTTTGACGTTTGTGGTATGGGTGTATGAAATCTGTTAAGTTCAGAAATAAAGCCACGTCAAAAAGAATTAACGGGATTTTCAATGCTAGGAAAAGTCAGTGTTACTTGGAATACCTCATTTATTTACATATTGTGATTGGCATTCAAAAGTAGAACAGTTTCGGGAACGACAGGAAGTTTCTGAGTCAGAGGCAATGCCCGGGCAGTCCACAGTTTTAATTTGTATCGAGAGTCACGGCAGTCTTGCATGCAGTACCCAGGAGACAATGGTCACACCCAAGAGATCCAGTAAGACATGGTAAAGTAGGTGTGCCAGGGAGGCTGAGGCAGGAGGATTTCCATTAGGAGAGCCTGGCTTCCCTAGCCAATACCAGGCCTGCCTGGAGGATGGCGTAAGGCAGCGTCTCAAAACCAAAACCAAAAGAAAGCCCTAAGTGGTGTGTTTGGCGTCTCTCTCACTGCTTAAGAGTTTGAAGGGAAAACAAAAGGGAGAGGCAGCAGGACGGAAATAAAAAATCAAACCCAGGACTTATTATAAGCCGTAGCAGCAGCAGCTGAGAAACCTGACCAGGAGATAGTCCACAGTCCGGGATGCATCCCTTGGCTTTTGGGAAGGGACCGCTGCGTGCGTTCCCAGGGTTAGGGCGCAACGCGGTGGAAGGCTTCAAGCCCCGCGGGCGCTGGAGCATGTCCGCGCGCTGTCCTGCGGGTGTCTAATCTCTTGCTCTTCTGGGGAGAGACGGTGTTGGGGTGCAGACAGCGCACCTGCTAAGCATCCCGGCTCGCGGCTAGGAGGCGGCGGAGACCTGCTCCTCCGCCCCTGGGATGGGCAGGGGAGAGGTCTGGGAGAGCAACCGGGAGTACCCGGAGGGACCCCGAGTGGCATTTCCCGCGTGTGTCTCCCCCCCCCCCCCCCCCCGCGAACCCTGCAGCGCCCCCGCTCCACCTGTGCGCGTTCTGGTCGCCTGGGACGCGGCGCCCACAGGCGGAGGCCAGGTGTTAGGGACCTTGGGTCCCGGGATCCAGGAGGCGGAGGCGCGCGAGCGGGCATGCGCAGTGGGCGGAGGCGGCGGCGATGGCCCGGGGAGGCGGGGGGACCGCTGTTTATTTGCAGCTGGGCCACCGCGGCGGCCGAGCACGGGGCGCCCGGGCGGGGACAGTGGGCGCGCGATGTCCGAGCCACGCAGACTGCCGCGCACCCGGGCCCCAGCCGGGGAGGATGCGCGCCGCTCGGGAGCGGCCGTGCGGGCGGCGCGATGCTGGTGACCCGCGGGGACCGCGGCGGCGGGGAGCGCGCGCCCTCGCGGCGCCCGCGCTGCGGACTGGTTCCGGCCGGAGCCGCGGCGCTGCTAGCCGGGGCCAGCTGCTTGTGCTACGGGCGCTCGCTGCGGGGCGAGTTTGTGCACGACGACGTGTGGGCGATCGTGAACAACCCCGACGTGCGGCCCGGGGCCCCGCTGCGCTGGGCCGTTTTCGCCAACGACTTCTGGGGCAAGGGCCTGGCGGACAGCACCAGCCACAAGTCCTATCGGCCGCTGTGCGTGCTGTCCTTCAGGTGAGCCCCGTGCGCCCTGGGGTCCGGGCACCTGTCCCCGGAGAAGGGGTGTCACTGCGGGGGCACTTCTGACGGATCCATCCGTACCTTCTCTAGGGTGTCCTCCCCTTTCAGCTCTTTCCTCCAGGCTCTACCCTAGACCGTTTTGCCTTCAGCCCGATCCTCCTCGCTTTACTTTGTGCTCTCCAGGCTCAGCTTGGTCCTCTAGGTTCTACGCTTGTTCCTCCCTGCTCCGCTGGGTTCTCCTGGCTTTGCCCCCAGGTCCTCTGGGCCGTATGCTTGGCGCTCCTGGTTCTATCCCCAGTGATTTCTCCTCGGCTCCGGGTCCTCCCGGCTCTGTCTAGTATCTGTCAGAGAAGCCCCGGCTTCTCTCTGCCCTCTGCCACAGGACCTCGTCGCTCTGGCTAGATCCTCCGGTTCTGGCTCTGATCCTGCTGTGCCAGCCTCTGTCCCGAGTCCTCCGGGCTCTGCCTCTGGTCCTTGCCAATGTCAACTCCTGTTTTTTTAAGGCTCTGCCCGAGTTCTCAAGCAGGGCACCGTTTTCTTCTGGCTCTGTCTTGGGTTCTCTCCGCGCTACTCAGGACCTCCCTGCTCTGCCCCTGTCTTCCCAGCTAAGCCTAGGTTCCCCCGCGCTTCCTGGCTCCTGGGCACCGGCTGCGGAGTTTGGACCGAGTTTCCTCAGAGACTGTGCTCCCTCCGCTAGATTCCCGGGGTTTCAGTGCTGGTGGATCTGACTTCGCACCCGACCCCTTCCCTACCCTTCCCAGTCTTCTCATGGAGATCCGCGTGTTCCAGAGGGTGGCGATGCTCCAAGTTGTTAGCTTCTCCCGGGAGGTTTGACTGCTAGGCAGATGAGTAGAGGGGACCGAACAAGTGACCTAGGATGCTCCTGGAGCTGCCAGGCTGTGAGTGTTCCAGGCAGGATCTGGGGAGAGGGGTCAGGCACCCTACTCTGGTGCCCCAGGCTTTGCGGGGCCGCTGATAGCCTCCCTAACCTCAGTATCTCCAATCCCAGCCTCCCCATCCCAGAACTCCGCAACTGCAGAGTGTGGCGCCCAGACTCCGGGACTCGCACCGAGTACGCGCAAAGTGGTGGGGCACCTGCCTGGAGTCGCAGAGAGACCCTTCCCAAGCTCCGGAATCATGACTCAGCGTTTCTGGTCTAAAGTAGTGGATCCGGACCGGGAGTTACTCGTCTGTAGGGTGGGGTATCCGCTTGAATTTAGAATTCTGGGGAAAGGACAGGTTGGAGCCAAAGAGGGGATTCAGTGTAACTTGGCTCTGCATTTGAGCTTGTGTGAGTAGGGACACACAGCTCACAGGGTATTAGCCCCGCATTAACCCGCTTTCCAGTCCTTGTCATCGGAGCCTTAGTTCATTAAACTGATCCCTGGGAACAGTTGGCAAAATAACAGTCAGCGTGGGCCTTCAGGCCCAGGGACCCCATGACTTAGAAGAGGAAACCCCGGCAGCTGACCTTTCACACACCTCTCTCAAATAAACTAATGTTTTAAAGAGGGCGAGAAAATAACACGTCTGACTCTCAAGGAGATGTTTTACAAACATTTATCTTTGGAAAGTTGTGTTGGTTTTCAACCCAAGATAGCCTTTAGCTGCGGTTTCTCAGCCTTATTAAGTTCCCAAGTGTTTTTTTTTTTTAATCTTAAAAATAGGAACGCTTCCTTTTACACTAGATGAACATTTCATCGAGTGGGCGAGGCTGTTGATTAATTGGAAGGTGAATACGCTCACAGCGCTCCAGACTTTTTTACAGCCCTGGTTCCTGGCCTGAGCTGTTTCCATTTAAAGAGCCAGGACTGAATGCCTGTTGGCGGATGGGCTTGCTGTCCAAGTGTTAATAGTTCCTAACAGGAGTTCTGCCAGGGCAGAGGAGGAAGGGAGGGAGGGCTGTGCAGCAGCTCCACCCCTTACATCACTAGCTCAACTTCATCCCCCACCCCACCTCCGTGGGAGGGGTTGGTGGGGAAATCGGCAGGGTTGATGGGCAGGGGTGGCAATGAGGTTTTTTGGTTGTTGTTGTTGTTATTTTTGTTTTGGTTGTTTTTAGTCAACTTGACACAAGCTAGGGTCATCTAGGAAGAGGGGAACTCAATTGAGAAAATAATGCCCCCATCAGATTGGTCAGTAGGTAAGCCTGTGTGGACATCTTCCTGACTAATGATTGACAGGGGCGGGCACAGCCCACTGTGGGTGGTACCACTTCTGGGCAGGTGGTCGTAGGTTGTATAAGAAAGCGGGCTGAGCAAGCCAGTAAACAGTGTTCCTCCATGTGTCTGCCTGTTCCTGCCTTGACTTCTCCAAATGATGGAGCTGTGGTCCAGACGTGTAAGGCAGATAAGCCCTTTTCCCTCTGTTGTTTTGGGTTGTGGTGTTTATCACAGCAATATAAAGTAAAGTCTAGAGAGCAGGGAGGGGAAGAGAAAGCAGACCAGCTCTGCTCACACGGTCAGTCTCTATCAGAGTAGCTCTGTCTTCCACAGTCAATTAGGTACACCCCATGTTCCTGTGCAGTTGCATGAACGGAAGGTCCTTGAAGACTTTGGACATTTTTAATATTTTTCCCTTTCCTCTTCCTCCTGTTTTTGTTGTTGTTGTGTTGTTTTGGTTTTGTTTCCTGAGACAGGCTCTCACTCCACAGCCCAGGCTAGCTTGGAATTTACTATGCAGCCCAGGATAGTTTTTTACTCATGGCAGTTCTCCTGCCTCAGCCTTCTAAGTGTTGAGATTACTGATCCAGTGAGCTACCGTGTCTAGAGACCTATATAACTTAAACCTGTTTAAAAGGATGTCAAACTCCTTGGATCATTTATGAATCAGGCATTGGCCCACTGTCCTGGCTGGTTTTATGTCAACTTGGCACATGCTAGAGTCATCGGTGAGGAGAGAACCTCAGTTGAGAAAATGCTTCCAAAATGTCAGGCTGTAGGCAAGCCTGAAGGGGATTTTCTTAATCAGTGATTGACGTGGGAGTGCTCAACCCATTGTGGGCGTGGCCACCCCTGGGCTAGTGGTCCTGGGAGCTAGGAAACAGCATTTGTATGATCTGTGGGGTCTCCCCACGCCTAGATTTCATCGGTTTGTGCATGCCTATTTTACTAATATTTTGGGGTATATTTAGTTCTCGGCAGTTTTATGACAGGTGTCAATTACTGAGATTCTACTGCAGTTACAAGGCCTAGAACACTTCCATCACATGGACTCTGTGCCTCCTCATCATAGCAGTGCCCCAAAGCTCTCACATCCAGTCCACAAACTCCCACCCTGACCCGTGACAACCACTAATTCTCCTCCTCTATAATTTTATCATTTCGATGTTACATAAGCAAGATTGCTTAGCATACACTTTATTGAGATTGCCTTTTTTCCCCCCTTAATCTCAGCATTTCTCCGGGGCTTCATTCAGATGGTTGTGTGCAATGAAGAGTTCATTCCTTTTCACTTCTGAATAGTATTCTGCACTATAAATGTCCCAAAGCCTGTCCATTTTTCTCTCATTTTTGTACTTTACTTTTTGCTCACATAGAATCCCAAATCAAAATATAGACTTTTTTCTCTTTTTTTTTAGTAAAAGTAAGTTTATATCTCAATGTTTTAAAAATTTAATGGTTAAATATTTAAATTATTGTAAAATTGAATATTAAATATTCAAATGTCACATATTGAGAGATAGAAACTCTCTTAAGAACAAACATGGTAAATTGATATTTAATTATTTTGCTGGACAGATGTTTGTATATAAGGAATATCAGCTATACCTATATATTATATATATAGTAAGAGCCTCCTCGTGTTTCTCACCTAGAAGATGCAGTGGGCTGAGCACATGCTGACCTGAGCATACTAGTTGCAGAGTCTGGAACAGTGGGACAAGGTGGACAGGGTTGTATACGCCATCTCTTTAGCTCTGTTTGAACTGTTTCTAGACCCCTCCTCCCAGTGTGGTTCTGCTTTAGGGCTGACCCCAGGAGACCCTTCTGAGGATTGGAGGTGAGAAGGAAGTGGCCATAATCAGGCTGAGAAGGCTGGAGTAGGTTTCCAGGGCTTGGAGTCCCATGCAAACTGAGCAGGAAGTGTTGGCCACTCCTGGTGGTGACAGCAGTTGCTCAGGTCATGGGCCTCAAGTCCCCAACCCCCCCACCCCCCAGCTCTTACTGGTGCCGGCACAGGTATGAGTAACTGGAGTGAAGAGTCAGGCCTTCTGCAAGTTTATCTTGTTAAGGTGGAGCCTCAGAGGCAGTGAGACCAGTGTACTGTGGCAGAGTGTGCCTGCGGTTCTAACCCGGTTCTAACCCACGCTTACTTCCTGTGCACGGCCCCCTCTCCCGTCTCCCTGCCTTGCTGGCTTCCAAAGCCAAGCATCAGACTTGCGTGGGTGAGGTAATGGTGACCTCTCACATGGCTATAGTAAATATTTTTTCCTGCATTATTCCCGGGGGTCATGCCTAAGTATTGCAGTTACCTCTGCTCCTTGGGTTGCTCTGTTCTTATATTCTCATGAGCAAGGACATGCAGGAATATTTTTAGACAATAGCAGAGAAGAAACAAACCATGTGTAAATCTACTCTGCTGTCCTTACGTTCTTTTGATTTGGCTTCTGTTTTTGTCTTTAACTTTTTTATTGGTGCTCATTCAGTGTGCATAATCGGGGAGAGGGACTTCACACAGATGGTTTTCGCTCAAGTACATCCTGTACTTTGGCTGTATCCAGGCCTCCCCTCCCCTTTCTTCTGGCTGCCCCTCCTACTCATCCCTTTCTGCATAATAGCGTCCCCTTTACCTGCATGTTCTATGTGTGTGTGTGTGCGTGTGTGTATTATATATGTGGATTTATAACTTTATAAAATCCAAGTTCCTCATGTGAGAGGAAACATCTGATCTTTGTCTCTTCTGGTCTCCCGCTGCATCTATTTTCCTGGAAAGAACACCATGTCATTTCCCTTCCTGGTCATGACCTCTGAAATCAGGAGGAACGCATTAAG